TAAATTGGAATACTGTAATTAAAAACTAAGAATTTAAAAACAGGACAGGGATATGTATAAGTAAAAATAGATTGATAAATGCGTTAACTGAGCTTGTTATGGTTAGAAATTTACTAGTGTAGGTATGCTACATTAAATGTTAAGGGAAAAAGAGAAGGAATTTTTGATAACGTAACCTGAGATATGTACTAAAAATTTTGTTACTGAGCTATCGATTACCCAGTCACCACGACACTTTCTAAATACTTGGATGTTAAATTGGAAAACTAATAAAACTTGTTATATAAGAAGTGGGAAATTTATCCCCTTCCACCCTGACAGTTTCTGGGAATTTGAATTCCCATAATGGCCGGTGAGTCTCTCCTTTATGTCTGTGTTACAGTTAAGCCTCATCTTCTTCTAAAAACACGCTCAGGGCTTAAATGTAACTAGTCCTCGGCTCAGCAACGATTCATTTAGTGACCATTCCCAAGTTGAAAGTTCACTGGAAAAAAAAAGTGATTTACAATCTTGTCCTTGCAATCATCGTGGCCAAGCGATCAAAATTCGGACACTTGGCAACCGGCAATGTATTTACTGACAATCGCACCGCCCCGGGGTCACGTGATCCCCTTTTGTGACCTTCCCAGACAGCTTCTGACAATCCAAGTCAATAGGGGGAGATGGACTCACTTAACGCCTGTGTGATTCGCTTAACGACCGTGCCAGAAGAGTCATAAAATCGAACATAACCGCCTTCCCAATTGCCTTGCTTAGCAATGTAAGTTTTAGCCCCGACTGTGATCGAAAGTGGTGGTCTGCCTGTTTGTCTGAAGTGAGTTCACACAACATGTAACATTTGAAACAACCGTCTCTGAATAATTCCCAGTTAGCCGCGGTTCTTTCTTCCCAGCGTCAGAATCCAGGGAGTGTAAATAATTTTGAGCATGTTCTAAAAAAAAAAAAAAAGTGAAAAGATTCTAATCTGCTTTTCTCTTTCAAGTGATTGGAGCAGAGCTGCTATTGTCGTTTTGCCAGACGGTGGACGGGGTGGTGGTGGTGGCGAACGACAGGGGTGGAAATCCATAAACCTCTGTGATTGGTCAAGGGGAACAAAAGTCCCAGAGCTCACATTGATTTCGGCAAATGATTACTTCGAAAATTACAGCCGGAGTTATTAAAGTTTCTCTCCCACCTGAGTGCTATGAAATCATTCCTTCCAGCCATCCTTTTAAGGCAAGTGGACCACCAGCAAAATGCAGAAAGGCATTTAAAAAAATGACTGAGGTTTTTTT